CGTCCATGATCCACTCAATTTGAACCAAAAACTAAAATGGAGATTTAACAACCACCCCAACTGTATTATGAAAGCCTAGTACCAAAAACAGGGCAAGTGGCCCAACAACACCCTCTCCATTCCAGAAAAGGCTAGAAGCCCATAAACTGGAGCATTTTGAACTATTTCATAAAAGCCAAACATGACATCAGATCAGAAGATCATTGGGTTCTACCATTCAAACTTGCTACCAAACATTATTTATTTAAAAAGAAAGAAGAAGAGGGAAATACTCAGGAAGAGAGAAAAACTTAATGGAAAATAGGGAAGTTCAAAAAGGGGGAAAAAAGCAAAGGGAAAAATTCATTATACAATTAAAAATATAATAATTACTTCTAGTTCCGTTTTCAATAAATCATAAGATACTAATTATTATATAACATGATCCATGGTCTATCAAGTAATTCTTGCATATGACCCCAAGTGAAGGGCATTCATCTCTCTTATAAACAGGGAGAAATAAGCTTCCTTGAAATGGAAGCACCCTCTAGTTACATTCTCCCACTTCATTTCCCTCAGCTACACCACTTTAATCCTCTCTTCTCAACATAGTCGACTACTACAAAACTTTACACCCCACATCTTCCCTTTTGGCTTCACTTTTGCTTCTTCCTTAGCATCTGCTTTTCGACAAAACTTCCCCCTAACACCCAATTCGAGGTTCATAACTTGAGAGCTAACGATTAGCTAAGAGCTTCTAAGACAACAGTAGCTTGAGCAGTTGAGCATCTTGAAAAATCAACCAGCTACACAAACCTTTTCCTACATGTACTCAAAGGCAAAACATGAATACCATGTCGGCAACCCACTCCAACTACTAATCCCATCCTTTCCTACTCACAATGAATAATTGGTCAAATGGTGTGTCCTTAGTTTTAAGAGTAGTTTTAAGATAACTCTTATTCCTACTTATGGTTTTGTAAGACTAGGATTTTTGTATAATTACTCATTCTTATGATAAATTGATATCACAAGCAAAAGGAAACAAACCATTCAAAGAAGACCAGCAAGATGCATTAGTAGTTAATGTCTACACCTTACATATTTTCATATCCTAAGCAATATGGACAAAGTTCATTGACAACATAATGGCATCTTCTGATATCAAGAACGGATTTGGTATGCAAAAAGTAACCAAGTTCTTGGTTATAACTTTAGAGTTACAAAGAAATTGTCTAAGAAGATGATTAGGAGAAGAAAGCAAATCATTTGACATGGAAGTTATCAGGTTTGTGTTGAGAGGTGATTCTCCAAATATAATTGATATTAGAAACCCCACTACTTTGAGATATAGACATTAATGTTTTTCACTCCTTACAAACATAAGTCGGCAAGGATTTCGGAACATTTTGAGAATGATTCATATGATCGATTTTTTTTTTGTCTTATTGTGATTGACATATGCTAGTTTATGTTGCACAAATTGCAGGGAAGGATTACCAAATAAGGTAATGGCTCATTTTTTCATCCAAAATACAGGATACCATCACACAAGCTTGAACAATATTTAGTTTCAAATCAAATATTAAACTATTCTTGAGCACATATGCAATGACAAAGAGTTAGCATATCTCTTCCTAGAATATGCTAAAGATAGACACTCATGACAACAATTTCTGTACAATAAAACGCTAAGCTTTATCAGAATCGTCTGAGTTGGCTGAGAATAGGTGGGTGGGTGATTCCTGTTCTAGGAACCCTAGAGTTGCCTGATTCCCCCGATTATTGAATTCTTTTCTTATGTTCTATTGTATCCACATGACAATCCTATCAGGAATTGAGTGAGTCGGACTAGTTGTCTCAGAATCGGTCCCCCGACCAGTTCTGATTTGTAAAACCCTGTGCTTACTTCATGGTATCTATTGTTATGCAGCTAATCAGAAGAACTGATGCATGAGAAACTCAAAATAAGTTTGAATTGCAAAGCATAGACTCCACAAATCACAATTGGGTGGGCAAGGAGAGAAAAAAAGAAATAGTAACGATCTTATTAGACTTACCAAACTCTGTAAAAGAACCCATGAACTAAAAATAGAAATTAGTAAACTTTGGGGGTCCTAATATAGAAAGATACATAAACAGATAGATTGAGAGAGATAGAGAGAGAGGATCGTAAATTTCACAGAACCCGAGAACGGAACTTTGAAATTGTCGTATTTCGGTAGTCTAGAGAGAGAGAGCGGGGGAGGGGGAGAGATTTGTAAACCTCCTAAACTTACGGATTCGATGAGCTGAAGAAACAGGAAATTCTGTGTGCTGGTCCAGAGAGAAACAGAGAAGAGAAAGGATTGTAAATTTCAGAGAACCCTTGAACGAAAGTCAAGTTTTACCTACAGTAGTAGAGATTCAGAGAAACAGAGAATTACAAAATTTTCAAACTCGTAGATCCCATGAACTGAACAAATAGATATTTGCGTTGGTGTAGAGAGTGAGAGAGTAAGAAAGAGTTGTAAAAATTCAGAAATTCAGATCCCATGAGCTGAAAAATTAGAAATTCGGTACACATTGATGGTTTTTAGAGAGAGAAGATGAGAGAGTAGAGAGAGAGAAAGGAAAACCTTGATTGTGCGAGTTTGGTCAGCATTGATGGAAGCCTGAGCAAACGCCTCTTCATCCAAATACACAGCTTTTGTGAGCAAAAGCTTCTGGAGAGAGTCGAGTGTTGCGCTCATCTCTCCAACATTCACGAGCGCCGCTTTCCATCTCTCTGATCCTTTCCCCACCACTTGCCCCTCTCTCTCCCCCATTTCCTCTCTCTCTACAAAAATTTCATGGCTTCATGCTCCTCGCTCCCTAAATCTGTTCTCTCTCTCTCTCTCCTCTCTCTCACCAAATCCCTGCTCTGTGTTGTGCTCTCTCTCCAGGCTTGACCAAAAATTCAATAGTTAATTGCATATAATTACACGAAAAAAAATCTTTGATTTTAAAGTCCATAGAAAATTAAAACTCAAAACTAAATATAACAAAAAGCAGGTTATATGGAATTTAAATAAGGAAAAATCGAAAAAGGGCAAATACCTAAGTATTTATTCAGATAAAGTAAGCCCCAATTCCTTCACTTGAAAGCAAAGTCTAAGTATAAATAAATCCAATATACGTCAGAAAAATAATCATAAGATGATGATTTCAACCCAAAAAATCCGAATAAAAAATAAAAAAAATTACGTATATATCCGTTATAGTTTCCGTCATTACTAAAATATTAAATAGTTTATGTTATTACTAAAATGTCCATTTCTTCTCTTAATAACGAAAGTTTTTAAAAAAACTTTTTTATCTTTTTTCGGTTTTTGAACAATCGAAAATAGGCGGAAGCTCGAAATTTGCATTCTTATTTTCGGATGTTGAACAACCGAAAATATCTTGTTTTCGGTTGTTGAACAACAAAAAATAGGACTCAATACTCCAGAAGCTTGCTGGAATATGCAGTCCTATTTTCGGTTGTCTAATATCCGAAAATGTCTTGTTTTCGGTTGTTGAATAATCGAAAATATGACTACGTATTCCATAAGTTTGCTGGAACATTTTCGGTTGTTCAACATTCGAAAATGTTCTATTTTTGGTTGTTCACCAACCGAAAATATGACAAAATCTTGGAATTTGTATTCTTATTTCTTTTTGTTCAACAATCGAAAATATTATATTTTCGATTGTTCAGAACCCGAAAATATCTTATTTTCGGTTGTTTAGGACTGCATATTCCAAAAGCTTAAACAAGCCCCGCTATTCTCGGTTGTTCAAGAACTGAAATTAGCTTATTTTCAGTTTTTGAACAACCGAAAATCCAGTCATTTTGGTTGTTCAAAAACCGAAAAATAGTAACAAAACCGAAAAATGGTAAAAAAAAACCATTTTTAAAAAATTTTGTTATGAAGTGAAAAAAATGGATATTCTAGTAATAACGAAAACTATTTGGTATTTTGATAATAACAAAAACTATAACGAATATAAACGTATTTTTCCAAAAATTTTAATTTCACCTATTTCCACACAAAAAACAAAAGAAAAAAAAAATGCTTAAAACGTGGAAATTGGTTGGCCTACAATAAATAGGACTCCCACCTTCGAAGGGCAACCAAACAACATTTCTTGGCCGTTTCTATGGAAAATGGGTCTCCCAAAGACCTATATCTAGTGAACCAAACGCGCCTAACCACATGGGTCTTTCTCAAGGTGTTATCTACGTATCATACGTTAACATTTTCCTAACTATAATCAACAAATTAATCTAGGTAATTAGATCCGTTATTGCTAATGCATGTATAATTTTAGCTTCACATCACTAAATATTTCAGAACATTTATTTGATGAGTATTGTATGATTTCAAATTTATATATTTATTTCTAAGAATCTAATTAGTTATCCCATTATGAAAGAGAAAGTTAGGGATAGACCACAATGGAAGGAAATCATAGATGCAACTTCTCTTTACAAAAAAATTAGTAGCATTTTTAGTTTCAATAAATATAGTACTTTAGAAATCAATAATCATTCACTCCTATATTTATCGGATGCTAGATTGGGTCGGGTTTGGATTGGTTTAGATTGGTGATTCAGAATAACATTTGAAAAATAAATGAAATAAAAAAATAAAAATAGGGGTTTATATGGTGGGGATATAGATAGATCTAAGGAAAGAAAATACTAAATAAGTTTTTTTAAAAGAAAATATATTAGGGTTTTTTTTTAAGGAGACCCATACCATCCAAAACCAGTTTAATCTTGATCGATTCCCATCCAGATCACTAATCAGGATCACAAATCACTAGGCTTTAAAATATTGACCACAAACAAGTGGCATGAGATGTGTGCATATGTGTATATGAGAGAGAGAGAGAGAGAGAGAGAGAGAGAGAGCTCCTCTCATCATCATCATCATTCTCAAGGTCATTTTTCAACTAGTTTGGGTTGGTTACATAAATCTGGGTCTATCGTTCTACTCTATTAAAGGTCATAGCCCCAATGAGGTTATATCTTTCATTATTTGTTCTCACTACTTCCAATCATGTGCTTTTAGGACTACCCCTCGCTCTATTTGAGCCTTTCACTTGAACTAACTAGCACTTCCTAACAAGTGTTGTACCAGTCCACCTAAGTTTAATTTATCTCATCTTATCGCCTATTGGTATCACGTTTAAATTATCCTGAATGTATTCATTTCGAATTATGCCATCTCGTCTTCCTATACAGAGAAAGCCTTAACTAAATATTTGCTAAATAATTAATATAACCCAACCACCTAAATTTTAAATTAAAATAATTGCTTTGTAAGTTTCATTTTATTCATGTACTTCCTCAAAAAATTATTTTTATATCCAAATTACCAATATTGCATATTTGTGACTTTAAACAAATTTTCTCCTACGTAAATGTCCCAAGCAAATGACATGAAACTATGCTTGTTTTGGGTTTGAATTTGAAACATGTTTTATATTTTCAATGTGTTGTTTCTTAAAGTGAAACAAATTATATCATTTGGTTCATGCCAATGTAGCATTTGGCCCTAAGTCATTCAGGTTTTAATTCAATAGGCTTATTCTGGGTTCCTAACATTGAACAAGGAGGTGTAATTTAATTATTAGACTCGAATTAAGTGTTGGGGTGGCAATGGGTCGGGTCTGGATGGAACCGAACTCGAACCCAAATAGTATTCGGGTCCAAAATTTGGACCTATACCTGGCCTCGTTGGATCTCGGGTCTACCCGTCAAGTCCTAGGTTGGGTCGGATCCATTGCCACCCTATGACTGAGTTTTTTTTTTTTTTCCCTTTTTTTTATTACCATCACATACCTTATGACTTTAAGCCCTTTTTTTTTTGCCAATAATACTGTCAATGTTACCAATATTGTGACAATATGAATACCTAACATGCACCTAAAGACACATGATTGCTATCATATATCTTATGACTAACGATTGAACCTGGACCTGGACCTAGACCCAAATAGCATTTGGGTCCAAAATTTGGACCCACACACGGACCCGAGATCGGGTCTCCCCGTTGGATCCCGGGTCTGGTCGGGTCCATTGTGGCCCACTATAAGACTTGAAGCTGAGAATAGTTTTGTTGTAAAAATGCTTGTTCTATGTCTCCAGCTGCAAACACCTTATTTGGTCCGGGTTTAGCTTGGGTTGCCCAAGTGGGCAAAATTACTGGAACTTCTGATTGTTTAAGGTTCTTATAAACTAGAGAGTTTAAAAATAAAATTTTGAGAAATTATCAATAATATATTCCTTATAATTTTTATAATTAGGAAAAAAAAACGCTTTTTTTTTTTTTACTTTTACCCAATTATTTTCCAAATGTTTTCGTTAATATTCAAACTAACCAGGTGCTATTAGAATTGTAGACATCGCTATAGTTCTATTAGATTCGTAGAGCATTTGACACTTCCGGGCCAAGGAGGAAGCGTCAAGAAGGGGCTACAATATTGTTAGATCCATGGTGGTGCAAAAGGCCTGTTGTTGCAAAAAAAGGGTGTGATTGTGTTGTTAGATCATGTTGGTTATTTTGGTGCTTCCTAGAATTTCTTGAAGATCTAAATATGCTAGAATTCTGCCAGAATTGTGGCAATTAGCATGGGTGGCAATGGACCCAGACTTGAGGGGTAGACCCAATTCGAGTTCGGGTTCAAGATATCCAGACCTGAGGGGTAGACCCAATCCGGGTACGGGTCCGGGTTGGGTCCGAGTTTGGTAATATTTTCGGGTCCCAATATACGACATACATTTAAATATAGTTAAATACATAGATACTTTAATTTTTGGGTCGGGTTAGATCAGGTCTAGGTCCGGGTCTCGGTTTAGATCCCACACTGTATTTTTGAGTCTGGGTTCGAGTCTGTTGAATTCAGGTCCGGATTCCACACTATATTTTTGGGTCTGGGTCCACCCCCGACCTGACCTGTTGCCACCCCTAGCAATTAGCGATATGGATCTAAATTATGGTGCCTTTTGTGACCCCTCTCAGGCAAGGGAGAGCTCAATGTATTTCAAATCTAATAGATTCGGGAAAGTATATAATAAGATAGTTTACTTTTGGTACAAGGTAGTCACAACTAATATTGACTATTGGATGTGAAATTGGGCGGCTGCATTTATTTCATTGATCAAGCTCAAAGTTCAAAAGAAATCTTCTCGAACTTTATTACACAACCAACAATTAGATTTCACATCCAATGGTTACGAGTAATTGTAAACTTCCTATACCAAAAGTAAATGGTCTCATTGTATATAATCTCAATAAATTCGTAGTACTTAGCGCTAGAGTTATAGTAATCCTTTAATTGAGTTATTTTTTATAGAACAAAAAGTTTTAGGAAAAAGTAGGATACAGATAAAAAAACCAAAATTAAGTATTTTTGCAATTGCAAAAAAAATGGAAAGTATTGACAATAATTTCCTCAATTTTTTGAGAAGGTGCTAGGCAAACAAATTCTTATGACGTCCTTAAGATTTTGTACCATTTTATTAGTGATTTTTTTACATCCTAGGGGCACAATGTAGGCATTTTCATTGAAGAGTGCATATACTATGCTCCCTTGGGAGCAAAGGGTCCTTTTGCCCCCTCGGACAGAAAATGTATCATAAAAGAGTGCTTTTGGATCTGAAAACTTGGAATCTGGTTAAATATCATGGGATAATTATTAGAAAAAAAATAGATTTTGAGCTCTTTAATAGGGGCGGGAAATGAAATGGGTAATAATTGACCCCAGGGTGGCAATGGACTTGATAAACTTGGGACCTGATGTGTAGACTAGACTTTTGGTTGGTCCAAATTTTGGGCCCGAATACGATTAAGGGTTGGGTCTGGGTCCAGTCAGACCCAACCTGATTTGTACCCGTAGTCATAAGGTATATGATAGCAATAATGTGTTTTTAGGCATGCACTAGGTGTTCAAATTGTCACAATATATTGGCAGCATTTATAGTATTATTGGTAAAAGAGAAGAAGAAGAAGATCATAGTCATAAGGTATATGACGGTAAAAAAATAAGGCAAAAAAAATAAAAATAAGCTCATGATGGGTAATAATGAATCCGATCGGACCTGGGACCCGATGGATAGATTCGGGACTCGACGGGTCCCGAGTGTGGGTCCAAATTTTGGACCCAAATTCTATTCGAGTCCAAGTCCATCGAGACCCAATCCGTTGCCACTCCTAGGTTGACCAGGGGACTCGACAAGCCGATAGGTCTAGTTGACATGTCTGGTCTGGGTCTAAGTCCAAGCGTTCAACTTATATTTTGTCGGGTCGGGTTGGGACTGGTCAGGATCGGTACGAACCTTACCCAACGGGTTGGGTCTGGGTGCAACTACCCCAACCCGGACCCGATGCGACCCGTTCCCGCATTCCACCCCTACTCTTAACACTTAGATATTGGGAGCAAGTGGCTCCTGGCGAGACCATGAAATCATGAGGCTTATTGAATTACGGGGAATCTAGGAGGGGGAGGGGCTCCTACAGGGGCAAAATAGGCATAGATCGAAGGCGAGGGCATTGCACAATTGCCATAGTTAAAGGAACTCGTAACGAACTTGCTTTATTCATCTGGGGGTATTTCTGTCATTTCTTCAAACCTTTTCCATACTATTTTAAAATTTCCTCCTTTCCTATGTTCTCCTCATAATATGCTCCCACTGTCACAAATACCCGCTTCTTCAAAGCTAGGGTTTATCTCTGCTCCTCTTCTTCATCTCCTCCCTTCATAATTTTTTGGTTTCTTTTTCACCTATTTTTTTTTGCCTGATTTCAATTCATTGATATTCTGAAACTCTATCAAATTCCCTGGAAATAATCTGATTAAAGGTATGGACTTTTTCACTGTATATGGTTGCAGATTTTAGTAGTTGTTGAGGAAAATCACTGAGCAAAGTTGAGATTTTTTTAATTAAATTTTAATTTATTTCTGATTTGGATTGAGTTGAACTATGTTCTTTCTGAAAATTTGCTGTGAATTTGGTGTTAGTTTGGATAGTTTGATGTTTGCTTTGATGATGTTTTTGTGAAATTTGAGTTTCTGGATGTCGTTTTCGATATATATTTTACATAGTGTTTATTCTTGCCGTTGCCCTAGAACCTGAGGTGGGTTTAATGAGTTCTCGTGATGCTGATTGGGAAAGTTTTCTGTTTTAATTTATAATTTCATCGGTTGAATGAAGTTATTCGATACTTTATTATGTTGTAATTTAACAATAATTTTTCTTCTAAAAAAGATTTTTTTTTTTGCTAATTTTCCTTTTTCGTTTTTGTTATACTTTTGTATATGTAAAGGCTTGCAGAGGAATGGTTATTAGACCTTTAGAAAATTTTTATCAGCCTTGTAAGAGTTGAAGTTGGATAAGTTTTAACGGAATGTGTAGGCTGGTTGATGCATTTGATGTTTAGTGTCTGAAGGATTTGTTGGATCTGTTGGGGTTTGGAGGTTGTCTAGTGTTCAAAATCTCTCTCTCTTCTGTTCTCTCCAATCGTATATGGATATGGGAGCTAGGTAATATGGATTCACATTAGAGTGTAGCAACCATATTCATACTGTTAATTTAGCCACCTGGAATTTCCCAACTTCATAATGAAACGAAATTCACATGGTACTAGTTTTGCTTTTAATGATTAATTAACAATTTGTGTGTTGCGAATTCTTTGATCCGCTGCAAATGAGAAGCGCACTGGAATTCCATAACACGTACATTATTTTCCAATACCTATAGTTCACGCATAGCTCTCTCTCTCTCTCTCTCTCTCTTTTTCTCCACAGAAACACACACACAAAAAAACCATGGAATTTTTGAAAATCAGGGGTATGGACAGGGGGAGTGGGGTAAGCAAAATTTATGGCTGCAATGATTTACTCACATTTGACAAGAAGATCACACATTTGCAGGTCGCCTTTCTAATTTGAGTAGCAACATATTAAACATCCCGAGATGTATGGGCAAGGGAACTACACCTCTCATTTCCAGCATGGACCCCCTGCCCCTCTTCCTGCCCTTCAGCAAGGCCCGCCCCCTCCTCCCATTCATCAGCCCCAACACCCACCTCCACCTCTCCATCAAGGGCCTCCTATTCCTCATTCTGCCACTCATCGAGTCCCACGTCCTCCACCACCACCCATTCAAGCACCACCCCCTCCGATTCAACAGGGCCCACCCCACTTGCCTCAAGCTCAACCTCCTCCATCCACAATGAACATGAACCACTCTTACAGGCACCCACCTCCCCAAAACGCCCAAAACCCAATGCCAATGGCTATGCCAATGCCACCACCTCCCTACCAAAACAACCAACAATACCCCCCATATCCTCCACCTCCGAGTGTCAACACTGTTACCCCACCTCCTCCAAGAGTGGTTCCCTCTCCTCTTATGCCTCCATTGCAAGGCCAACTATCATATCAACCACAAAATCATCGTGGCCCCGTAATGCAAGGGTCACAACAACCTATGCGTCCTGGTCCTGTTCCACCCCCAACTGGGTTTGTTCCTATTACTCCTTCTCCTTTTCCGCATTATGCGCAAGGCCCCGTTGATATGCAGCCCCATTATATGCCTCCTCCTCTGCCCCCTCCTCCACCTTCATCACCTCCTCCCCTACCCCCACCGCCTCCTCCGCCTGCCTCACCACCTCCTAGCTTTTTGTCTATGAATTTGTTGGCGAGCTCTACAGATTCCATTGCCCCCTCATCTGGGACAAATCGCTACTCAGAATCTAAAATGGGTTTGGAAAGTTCTTCAAATCGTGTTGACAGGGTTGGGGTTTCTGAATTGGCCACTACGATTGGTGATAAGGTGGAGAAACCAGAGGGTTTGAACCAAAAGTTTGATGGTACGCCTCTCTGTGGTGGCTCTTTGGGGAATGAAATGGTCAGGATGGACACTAGTTCTTTTGCTTCAATGTGTCTACCCCCTCAACCTCCTAAGCCATTTGATGGAGAAATGGTTAAAAACATCGAAATTTTGTGTCAGTTTATTGCAAAGGTTGGGCCTGACTTTGAGAAAATGGCACGAACCAAGGAAGCTGGGAATTCGAAATTTGCATTTTTGTTTGGTGGGGAACCTGGGAGCAATGCAGCAATTGGACATGAATATTTTCAGTGGATGAAGATGAAAAGTAGGTTCGAGGCAAATTATAGTAAACCATCAGAGGGGCGTGATCAATCTCTTATGCCTTCTGAAACTTCGGGGACTTCTTTGCGTCTTGGTGGTGTGGTTGATGAGGATATCTCTGCTTCTCCAGCAGTTTCAGATATGGATATGGAAGGTATGTTTTACATTCTACCATGGTTATGCATTTATTTATTTCATTAGTTTCTTTATTTTGAATGTTAACTTGGTTCCTGATGAGAATGGAACTCAAGACGTCAAGTTGTGGCTTCTGCCACCCTGGCCACCTCTGCCTGGAGCCCGTTCTCGCTCATTAGCTTCTTCTTCATGTCATAATTTTTATAATCTTACTTTGTGATTCTGATAAGTGTAGTGTTTTGTGAAAGATGCTAGAAATTGTCTCGTCTTTTCAATTTTGTTTTGATTGTCAACAAGACATTGAAGGTTGTGGAGAATTGTTGGTTGCCAGAAGTAGTGTGACAGTGATTGCATTTTTGTAGATAACGAATTATGTGCCATGGGACTGTATGCCTAACAATTATTGTTTCTAAGGCTTATTTTTATGTTCAGCATTTTATGCTTTGAACAGCATTAGATGCGAGGATTTGTTGACTAATTTGAGATGCTGAAGGTCCCGTATTTGCTCTTTCTCAGACGATGTTTATCCACCTTGTAACAACGATGGTGGTGATGGATTTGATGAACCCTTGAACGCAGAAGTCTCAACATCTTTGGAGCCATATAATGGGAAAGACAGTCCTGGAGCTTCTCAGAATTCTTCAGAAGAGCAAGTTCTCAAGGATATGCAAACTCCTCCTGAAGCCTGGATGAGGTCTTTAGCATCAGAATCTCCAGGTGAGAAAGGTACAATTTCATAAAAGAGTTGTTGAGTTTTCACACAGTTCATACTTTGACTGCATCTTAGTATTGATTAAACATCCCATAATCATTGTTCCTTTTGGGAGGTTGGATTTCTTAGCTGTTGTACTGGCATTTACATGATTTTCTGTTGTGTCTAGAGACTTGTATATGCTTATGTGCTGGTGTCATACCTTGAAACTCATCCCAGATGCTGCTAAGATATTTTTGAGCATAAATGAAATATATATGTAAAATTGTAAAATGTAATAGCATGCATTATGATATGGTATATCTGTATATCAATGTGTTGGATGAATATGTTTTAATATTGTACTATCTAAGGGCCAGTTTAGATGTCAAATAAAGGAATTTGTTATTAAATTTTTTTTCGAGTTTTTCAAATACCAATTGAAAAAAATACAAAGCCTTTTTTCTATTCTTATAAAGTTGGTTGGGTGTTACACGAGTATTTTATTTTAGCCCCCACTATGGATTGGTAACACACTCTCACAAATCCCTCGCCTCACCAAATGGTCTCTCCCTCCCCTCTTACCTCTCCTGATCTCTTTACTCAAATCTCTCTCATTCTGTCTGCATATTTTGGTTCGGTGCATTAAGCTTACCCTCGCTCCAAATTTAAGGTTTGCGTTGATTCTGATGAACTAGGGTTTTCTACGAGAATTGTCCGCCTCTGCAAATTCGGGGTTTGTGTTACTTCTGATGAACACTGTGGTTATGCAAAATACCTTTTTTTTTTGCTGAAAAACTAGCGTTTCTGCTTTCATGGTTTCGGGTTGTGAGGAAGTGTGGACTCTGGTTACTAACCAAAGGAGAAATGGAGGTAGAACCAGAAGAAACATTGTAAAGGCCTGTCAAAAGATGGAGACCCTGAATCAACCATGGACTCCGGTCGATGCAGAGATAGACAGTCAAAGAGAATCGAAACTGATGGAAAATATGCGATTCTCTCACTTACTGCAATTTCTTGTCAAATCTCCTTCCTCTTCCCTATCTCCTCTCTCTATTGATGCCACATTTAAATCCCCTTTTGTTGATAATAACACTAAAAACCATTAGCAGCGCCAGAGGAGCTTCTGAGAGAGAGAGAGAGATGGGTAATAGGGTGCTAGAGAGAGAGTTGGGTTTTTATGTTTGCAATGAGTGAGAGAGAGAGAGAGAGAGAGAGAGAGAGAGAGAGAGAGAGAGAGAGTAGTGGTTGTGGTAGTAGTAAGTAGAGAGAAGTGTGGTGGTGGTTGCGCGTGTGAGAGAGGCGCTCGCTACTACTACTAACGTAAACTACAGTACTTA